TTTTTTTAAATAAGCTGAAAACAATAACGAACGGAAAATACTAGTATTATTGTGAAAAAAGCGTGGCACTTTGTGCCATATTTTTGTATATCAAGCGCCCGTCGCTTTTTTCACAATAATACTAGTATTTTTCGTTCGTTATTGTTTTAAGCCTATTTAAAAAAAAATTCAACTTTTCAGTTCGATGTTCTTCAAAAGCGTGTTTTTGAGTTTTTCAAAACTATATTTATTATCATTCAGATTCGATATGAAATTTTCTTGGGTAATAGATACAACCATGGTTTCGCCGAAACAAACTTTATGTTTTTGAAAAGGTGGCAGTTCTCCATTGCTGCTCCATTGCTTTTATGTTTTTATTACATCCTGAATATCTATCACATACAAAAAAAATTTCTATGTATTCATCGATAATTCATAAACTTTATACGGCGTGCTTTTAATCGGGACTACAGGTTGACCTCGACTGATACTGCGCGCGTTCTACCCTCTATCTCAAAAATCGTTCAAGATATAAAACTATGATGGATGTAACCATTACTACGTGGTAGAACGACTACCCACATACATCAATTTATTGAAAGAAGCAACTACAGCTAGACATATAAAAATATGTTCAACCAAATTTGTAGAGAATTTAATGCTCTACAATATTTATAATGAATACAAATAGAGTAAATGAAGGTTTATACAACTTTATAGGTAGCTGAATATCTCTCATTCCGAGATACTTGCCCTCATTTGATTGATATTCCTAGACTTAAAGATTTATACTTCTGTTGTAATATATATTTCGTTGAATCTTAAATACCTCTAAACCAGTATGTATATTTTATTAAAAAATGTTATAGGATATTTTTTTTCAGTTCAGTAACTTTCGCAGTGATGAAAACTATTTTATCGTTCTCGAATCAAGCCTGGAGTTAGTTGTGAGTGAAATTCCTTCTATGCCAAGTTGATGAGTGTCACTGTTGCAATAAAATATTCACAGGATGAGGAATATTTCTGTGTTACATAATTTCACATGAGATATTTCTTTTGAACAAGTACTCCACTGAAAAAGAAGGTTTTGTGCATTGCGAATATGTTTTTTCAAGGACAAAACACAAGCATTAGAAAAATATTTGAGGCACTCTAAGAGCACTGCCTGTGCGAAAGTAGCAATTCACGTTGGATTTGAATCGCTGGTAATAAATATGAGTATATATATCCAATATTCTTTGTATAAGCACTAAAAAAAAATACCAAAACTACGCTGCCCTCATTAATGAAACAATTTTTTTAAGTTTTTGAACGAATTAATATTTCACAAATGGAACGTGAATAACTGAAAATCGAGGTAGAAGAGAAAGCCTCGTATTTTTGTTAGTAAATCTATTCAACTATTGACTGTGTAAAAAACAAATAGAGCTTATTCGTAAAACTCGCTGAATCAACACCAATGCACTAATGAGCAAGAAATATTGAATTACTCGAGAGAATGAATTTTGTCGTAATTAAACTGAAAGAGTCATTACCATTGTTCGCGAGTACTAAACAATACTTCTTCTATGAAATTTCGAAGTGAGATTCATTTGTGGAGGATATACTAAATGAGATTGATATTAATACAGTTCATACCAAGAGGCAACCTATGAAAAAGCATTCATAATTTACTTCTTGATGGTTGATGGAAAAAGATTAAAAAACTGCACTTGGTGTTATTTGAACTCATGATGATAGGTAACAAGATGAAAATTGAACTGCTCTATAGCCGCTTACAATTTTATGTGGTATAAGGTTTTTAACTTCCTAA